CGTTTTTTGCCTTTTTTTCGTTCCAGGACATTGATGATGGAATATTCAGATTGCTTTGTCTCTTGTTTTTAATGTAATTCCGGAACTGATTAGCGTCCAGCTTTATCTCAGCTTTGATATTCGATATGTATAAGTCGTAACATTTCTTATGGATTTTTTTGAATTCTGATCTCAATTTTCGAAAACATTTGTAAGCGACCCACGTTCTTGTATCTTTATATTTCGCATGTGCCTTCTTTTTGAGCTTAATTTTATTTATCAATTCTCTGGAGAACCAACAGCGATAACTTCTCATATTGCCGAGGTATATCGGAACAAATTGTACAATTCCTTCATGAATTTTCTTGTAGAACCAGTTAACCTTCTTGTTCAGAGATTGAAGTTTATTGAGTTCTATCCAGTTACATCTCAAAAAGAAGCTATTAAGCCCAATATAATCCGCTTTCTTGAAGTTATAAGTTGGTTTACTATTTGTTTTAAGACTAGTTTTGATGTCAACCATATATACTCAACACTGGATGGTATTTATCTTCCTTGATGAGAGCTTCTGTTATTAAACACAAGTTTTTAAATTTATAATTAAATGAACATGTACACGCCCACAAATAAAAGCTTTCCGCAAATACTTGTGTTCATACCCCCTGAACAGCAAATAATGAGTTTTCACCAGAATGATTTCATTTATGGCCAATCAAGAACTTGGACACCAAGGTTTAGAACCTCAAGGCATATCTTTAATATTTATAAAAAAAATCAAAGACTATATATTTCAATACTATTCAGAACACAAAAATCAAATAACTCAAAACTTAAAAACCTCAACTAGAAGGGTTTCACATGTATACTGCCAAAATTGAGTCATAAGAGAACATGAGTAAATTTGAAAATGGGACATAGCTTAAACAAGGACTATTGATTAACTTAATAGTTACTGACTGCTCTAAAAAGAATGGCCCAGTGACACATTCCTGCAACGAAAGGGGGGGCCCAGATAAAAGAGGGCCTATTTTGGGGCATTTTTTTAACTTTAAAAACTAACATGTATTCTGTTTGCTAGACTTGCACGGGGCCGAATAAGTTTTGTGGGTGGGCCCACACTCATTTTGTTAAGCAATTAGAAAGGCCAAATCTCTCTACATTATATATAAGGACTACTGCTCCCTTATAAAACTGTTGGAATTGCAAATAAGCAACTTGTCTAATTTCTTGAACAGAAAAGAAGGTCTGACTGACTTTAAAATAATGTTGAAACAGATGAATGAACGTTCTACAACTTTTTCAAAGTCACTGATGCAAATTTCAACACTTCAACATCTAATAGATTGAACTTAACTCGAGTCCTCACTACCACCTCCACTATTTTTCTCCACACAAGACATCAGCTTTTGATAGATACCATAATTTTTCTGCAACACAATCCATTTTTTAATAGCTCAGTCAACTACTAGAATATCCCCTCTTATTGAAATGTTTTGGGTTTCTAGGAAACTATTTTTCCAACGATAAAACACACACTTCAGTTCATGAATGCTAGATTCTGTTGCAAGTGACATTCAGTTGACTTTCTATTGAAAATTTAGCTTTTTCCACAGCAGGAGAATTAACCCTTCGCATGCCAAGTAGGGCACACGTGAACCCCCAATCTCACGTTTTTACTTATTGTGTAAGTTTCGCTTGTATTGTGAGATTGAAATTTCGTTAGATTGTCTGAAATACTTCTGTAGACAATTACATCAGAAAAAATGTAATACTTTTTACGTGTTTTTATTTACGTATATATTAATGTATTTATTTATCCACCAGGCAATTGCCCAATTAAAATAACACATACCAACAAAGAACAAAAATCTCACCACAATCAACTCCAAATCAACTCTTCAAAACCATGGTTTTACTTTTAATACTTAAAAACAAGCATTTGTACCCCACTTGGTACTCCACGTCTGTTTTTTATTTCGCATAAATTATTAGAAAGAGAGATAAAAAGACTAGAGCAAGATGCAGTAAATGTTCATATAATGAACATGCAGATACAAAAACAATAAAACTATGCATCATGTTGCCTAAAACACAAATAACGTTGAAAGAAGTATTTTGATTAAGTGTATGTGTAATGAAAGAGAAACCTTGAAATAAAATTACTTAATTCCATTATATTTATCTTTCATTATACATGAACTGCAAGCGTTTGTGTCTGCGTCTGTCTGCGAGCGTTTGCTTATGTGTGTGTGTGTGTGTGTGTCTGTCTGTGAGCATTTGTGTGTGAGTGTGTGTGTGTTTGTGTGTCTGCCTGCGAGCGTTTGTGTGTGAGTGTGTGTCTGTGTCTGCGAGCGTTCGTATATCTCTGTCTGCGAGCGTTCGTGTGTGTTTGTGTGTGTCTCTGTCTGTGAGCGTTCGTGTGTGTTTGTGTGTGTCTCTGTCTGCGAGCGTTCATGTGTCTGTCTGTCTGTCTGCAAGCGTACAAAATATATGATTTTACTATACATACCCCTACTGTTTTCATCTTCACTTCGTGGAGAAGCTTTTCCAAGTTCTCCAACTCTGCGTCTGTTTCTTTCCCATGATTCCTTGTTTTCCTGTTGATCTCTTCGCTTAGCTTCTCTCAACTTCTGCATCTCATTAAGGCGTATAACCTGCATTAAGAAATTAATGTTGAAATTTTTTCTCATATTACAATAAACAGAAAATTATTAAATTTTTTAGAAATGTTACTTCAAAAAACTGCAATTTTGCTACAAATTTCAACTTACCTGCTTCAAAAGAGTGTTATATTCAGGAAAGGACATACCACCATTTTTCAGTTGTTCGTCTGCTTGGTGAATTATGATACTAATATTCATGTCTACATCTTCCAATGTGTCAGGATCTAATAAGTGAGTGCGCATGTCAGTATCCTCACCAATAGGAGATGACATTGCATTTTGCCCATGGCGCTGTCGTCTATCCACGACCATATCTGAATACCATTAAAAATTATGAATGAAATGATTACTGTTCAAACATTAGCAATATTTGTCAATGATTTTAAGGCGAATTAGATTTATAAAACATGTTAAGAAATGTACAATGAGAAAATATTTAATTTACAATTTTAACAAACACCATATTTAAAGTAAAGAAAGAGCTAAATAAAATTGAACATTACTAGAAAAGAATGAATACATTTTAAGATACAAAGTACCAAAGCTGTCTAGGGAAAATAAACCATGGAAACATTTAAAATCTGCAAATGCAAAATTCTCATTATCTTAAAGAACATGCAACATGGTATTTGAACTAAGTGATATTGATCTCTCAATTTGTTAAAATATCTAACAGAAAGACAAGTCTAAAAGTAAAAAACGTAAGTATAAAACTGCATCAAACTATATAAGAAATCTTACGAAAAAGGGGCAAAAAGAAAGCTGGGACCAATACATAACTGATTTGAAACATGATGTAGATGGGCACAAAATAATAAACTACAAAGGAAAGTAACATTGTAATAGAAAGTAAGATGTGTCAAGCATAAAAGTTGAGAAACACGTCCAATTCCTCTTGATTATCAATATTTATAGCTCCCAGGGTAGTCAAGATTGCTCAGGCAGACACCGAAGTAATATCAGTTTGTAGGTGTGAATCCTTCATTGGGCAAGGATATTTTGCTTGTGTGATGTGAAAAGGTGGAGCTCTCCCAACCACTAAGGGTCACCTTCCCCCTCCGGTTCCCTTCATTCCACCCTCAAAAACAAAATAAATTAGTACATTATGGATCTTAAGTTCACATAGGAACAGTGCACAGAGGGAGCTGGTCATCCAACTTCTAAAAGGGTGAAAGTATCAAGAATGCCCCAAGGGCCACTTTGGGTAACATGGTAATGAGACTGTCCAAGAAGGGCGTAAGGCTGCGATTACCAACAGCGAGTACAAACAATGCAGAACAGGTTTCCCCACTGTGAGAATGGGTTCTCAGAGGAAGTGCAACAAAAGGGAAAATTGATTAACTGTCCATGCCTCCAGACACAGAAAGTCTTGTGTGCAGTGAGCCATTGACATTGCTTTAGAATAATATGAGTGAAACCATCTCTGCACATTATCCATCGGTTTCCTTTCTGTTTGAAAGGAAAAAAATATTGTTTGAGGATACTAGAGAGATTGTGAATGGTTGGGTAAGGTTAAAACAATGTGAATATCTAGTCCAGAATCACATAGCCATGACTCGGGACAAAAAAGGAACCTAATGATCTTAGCATTTGCAGATGACCACATTATAATTGTGAATAATAAATATTATCATCAGAAAGTACTATATGAATCACAGAAGATAACTGGAATACATGACTTGTGCATATCTTCTAAAAAATCTATAATTCATTTATAGTTCAAATTTATCATCCTGAGATACAAAACGTCATAAAGGAGAGAGATATTCAAGGAAAAAATAAAAGACAAAATTGAATAAACATTCAACCACAATAATAAGCCATAACAAAATTCTATAAGGTAAAAAGAATTCCATGTTTACATGGATGTCAAAATTGGACAATGACTAAAATGATATGAACAGACTACAAACAGCTGAAAATATATTTTAGGCTGGTAGTTGGTGAAAAGCTTACCGAAGGAAAATGTACAACAAAAATTCATGAAGGACTTAAAATAAAGACTATCAGTTCCTGAAAAGAAACACTGTAAGGGAGCACGACACCCATTTGTTAAAAAAAAGAATTTTACAGTACCACCCCAAGGCCGAAAAACACCTTGTTGCCAAAGGAAGCAATGGCAGACCAGATGGGAACAGAAGTGAATAATTGTTTATGTTGAATATAAAGCTGTTATGAACTTATGTAAGTAAACAGTTGAAATTTGATCATGCACATCAATCTTCAATGATTGAAACAATACAAAGAAGGGCCAACTTTCAGTGCAATATTTTATTTCATTTAATACGTCCCAAGTAAAGAAGATTTTTTTTTTTTTGTAGTTTCCAGTTGCACAATGATGTATTTTAGAAAGCAGTTGTAATTATAGAACCTAATGTACATTTGTAGTCTACGAGTTGGAAGAGCAAAGCATCGCAGAATTAACTTTGGAGGAAACATGTTTGGAGCGGGGAAATAAAATCTATGCTACATTATGTCTGAACATGTGAGATATCTCCAGAAACAGGCAAGTGTTTCACTTATTATGGTAAAGAGTTATAGATGTAAAAAGATTTGTTTGATTAGATATTAGAAAAATATATTAGTTTCTTTATTCGTATATATTTCCAATCTTTTACATGGCGGCTTATTCAAAGCAGTAATTTTCTTAGTGTTGAAATTTTCACAAATAGCATTGAACACCAAAATCTCAAATATATTTAATCAATCAATACCAACTTAACAGCCTAAAAATTAACCAGATGTAATTAACTTTGTTTTAAACCTTATATTCCCAAAACCTTAAAAACACCACACATTATTGCTAATAGTTTGGCAATTTATATGACAATTTTAAAACTAAAAACCAACCAGCACAAGAGGCCAAATGGTTGATTTTTCTTCTTTGAATTGTGTTTAAAGCTTTGGACTATCGGTTAAATGATTACCGATAACCATGGTTTCTCAGCAATTATATGTACTTTCCTTCTCGGATGAATACCTGTTGCATTTACCAAATAAAGAAATGTTTCAAGCAACTCTTACAAATCTGTGCCAAAGGTTTTGAAGCATGGCGCACAATATCCAAGTCTTGGCGTGTTCACAATGACCCATTTCAAAGGAAAATTATTTTTGAAGCAAATATCAACAAAATGCTTCATGTTAATCAGAGCCGTTGTAAACACCATTACAACAGCAAAAATGAGAAAATGTTTGCCGACCTGATGCATGTTAAGCTACTTCTTATTTTGGACACTTCTGAACTGTAATGCGTGGAAATTAGTTTTAAAAAAATTTGGAGTAAAAATCAATCCAACAATGTTAACAAAACAAACCAACAACATTTCATCCTGTGCCCCCGAGTTTTTGAATTTGGGATATGGCCATTGGGAATTCACACACATTTAATGGGTTTTAAGGGCACCAGCATGTTTGCCAGTAGTTTGAATAAAATACCTCTAAATTCAATTTTCTTTTTATTTCTTGACTTTCTATTTAGTAAATTTATATCTATTAGTCTTTGATGAAGTTCAAATTAAACAAAGAGTGTGTTTTGTAGCTCAAAATTAGTGAGAAAAAAGAAATTAAAGAAAAAAATGTGAGTTACAATTGATTTATGGAGAAATTAATTAATTGATTTTTTAAATAACAATAATTATTGTAGAAATAGCTGCACTGACACTTCACAATATCCACACCAAATAACAGAAATGTTCCAAAATAATGAACAAAATTGAATTAAAAATGCATTATATAATTAAATTTTCATACTAGATAGAGCTAATTTTAAACCCAGCAATTTTCACTTCTTTCTTAAATTGTGTTATTGGCACTACGTAAATCTAGGCTTTTGAAGTTACCCTTAGGTCTTCATTAAAACTTCATAAAAAGCTTTTTTTTTTAATTAATAAAAATCGAAGTAAATATTAAAGCCAACTATTTCAAAGCTACATATTTTCTAAAATATCAATTACAAAAACAAAATTATTACCTCCCAACTCGAAGTTTCATTGTTATAGTATTTAAATAATATATAATTAGCCAGTATAAACAATGTGAATTTCATGTAATTTCTGAAAGTTATTGGAGTTTTCTGAATGATTAAATAAAGGAAACAAAAGATATATGATAGATAAAAACTCAAAATGTTTACTTTTCATAACGTCAAAGTCTGCCAACTTCACCTTCTATTAAATCAAGCTGAAAATCACAAAGTATTTCCTTCAAACTCAGCAATATCCAAACTGAAAATACCAGTTAAGATAGTTTACTGGATAACTCTAATAGGAAATGGAATGTAATCATCCAATAATCATTGAAACTAGTAATAAATTATCAACTCTTTAAGATGACCTTGATCCAAAGAATTCTCATACCACGACTATAATAAGTAATTTACATAATACATTTACATAATATCCATAAGTTCCACTTCCGGTGCAAGAGTTCTCCAAAAGGCACTGCCGTCTTTCCTTTCCTACAAATTTCCTACACTTTCCCCAAATCCAAGCTTGTTATACCTCCTTTACCTTTTCTGTAGATCCAAGAAAAAGAAAAGGAAAGAAAGAGACGACAACGATGATGATGAAGGAAGAAGGAAAAAAAATAGCGAGTTCTAGCAGAAAAATTTAGAAAAGTTAGGGTAGCACATCCATTCTAAAACAAAGATCATATCTGCAATAGACCACAAAATGAAAAATCGAAGTTGAATGTTAATAACATTCCTCAGATTTTCTCAACTTATTGAAACATTCAATTCATTGCTTTTATTTTGTAAATTCTAGACATGCAAATGCAATATCACTTTAAATGTTTACTATTTGTCACTTATTACCAGAAAACATTGGTTGGTTGGTTGAATGAAGTGATAATTAAATTGGGCCTGCAGTACATATGACCTTTGTGCTTAGCATGGCATAATACAACTAGTGGTGCTCCAACAGTACATACTTTCTTGTGTAATTGGAAACAGCAACATAATATTGAAATATTGCATTTTCTATTCTACTAACACCTCAACCATTATTTCAAAACATCCAATTCAACCAAGAAGTAAGCAATGCACTTTTGCCAGTGCAGCATTATGAAAACTAAGTGCAGTTGCTTGGCTAATAATATCAATTAAGTAATTAAAAGTGACGTAGAGAATTTCTTTAAAAAAAAGAAAAGAAGGAAGTGTTTGAGTTTTTTGGGTTAATTTCAATTGCAAAAACTACTCCTTTTCTCAAAAAAATTGTACTTGACCTTTTCCAAAGAGCTAATTTTGTACAACAGACTTTGTCTGAGAAATCTCCAATTTTAAAGTTAAAAAAGTTTTTTTTAAGAATGTCTCAGGGGTTGCATGTAAAGTATTGCTCAAAATAAAAATTTAGGTTTCAAATTCCAGGATCCACGACATCAGCTAGAACGATTGGGAAATATCAATTTTTCAGAAAATCAGCCGAACTGTTATGTCCTAGCATTGTTCCTGAATGTATGGGCGGACAAACACTTTGCCGTCAATCAACTTTTTGGTATCAAGGACATACAAAAGTTGGATTCTGACTACACCACATGTCAGAGGAATTTTTTTTCTATATTTAGCAACTGGATTTGTCTCCTCCTTCCTTACCAGGGCCTGGCAATAAGAGTTTCTGTGACAAAAATTCACTGTACAATACTCGCACTTCTAAAGTGCGAGATAGTAAAAATAATCTAAAAAATTGAGAAAATAAGTGTGGCTGAGAGGACTGTGAATTTAAAGAAATCAGCAAGTACACACACACAACACAATTGTTTCTATTCTGTAGTTGGATGTTTCTTTCTCATATTGACAAACTTTTTTTTTCATAACCATCTGAGTTCTGAGGGAAAAAGAAAAAATTATAAATTGAAATATCATTTTCCATGCAAACAACGCACTGTACACTGGGTGATCAGACATGTTAAGATGAGTTAGCCAGACATGTCAAATTCTGCATGGTGTTCACTGCTTTCACTTGTCCAAACATGACCTTGATATACGAATGAAAGTACTCTTAATAGAGAATAACCACCTTCCATAAAACAACGGGAAAGCAGAAGTAGATTTTCACCATTCACAGAAAAACTGTGTCATATCACCATGGAATCTCTTCTTATGCAGCTTTTGGCAAATGTGCTCGAGAGTACAATGTATCACCCAGCTCGTCACTTTCAATAATTGGTTTCAACCTCAGCTGTGCTTAAAGGGAAAAAAAATCCTTTGGAACAATATCCTGTATCTGTAAGTGGCACATTCCTGTCAGCATATCTTTTACACAGAGGATTAATTTATTTTTTTTAAATGAGAGGCAGACTGTGTGTGTGTGTGTGTGTGTGTGTGTGTGAGGGGGGGGGGCGCTCTTGACAGTAAGAGCCCAAAAAATGGATAATTTTTGATTTGGCCAGTTAATTCATGTGTTAGTCTTGGTTCCTTGTATGAACAATGAAGAAATAATTTTAAGCATTATTTTGTCAATGTACCCAACCACAGAGATTGCTTATGTAAGCTAGTTCCCTGCATTTGAGAAAAGTATTTTGGCATAAAAATGCATAGGAAATTTTGGGATGCACTGACTAAAGATTCTTTTGCAAAGACCAAAAGCCTTGCCGCCCCAATTTGGAAAAGCCAAGCAAAATGTCGACTTAAGTATATGGTGAGGTTAGATTAAGTTAGTTGGTAACCTGCAAATAGAAATTCATAACAGACACAGTGAAATTTTAAATTAAACTACACACCTTCTCTATCACTAGCCTTAGAAACTTCCCACCAGCAGACTGAGCCAAGTTATACATATTATCAACTATACAACATTCACTTTCCTTAATTTTGTTGATGGCTGCCACCCAACTGAATTTTTCTCCAGAGAAATACTTACTTACTGCCTGTTCACTTTAGTTCACCAAAATTTTCCCTTCTTCAGCAAATTTGGAATTTTAGGTTTCAAATTTAAGGTACCCACGCATGTTGATATAAAACACTATCTGGCTTACACAAATAGTTTAATCATTTCAACACCTTTTCTAGAACATAATTATTTCTGTATATCTCAATTTTTCACAGGACGAATGTATTTATTTCTGAGACAATTTAGTAAGTACTCCTAATTCTCATTTTAAAAGATCAAAAAATGTAATTATAAGAATCTCCTTTGTTTAAAATCAATACTTCAAAATTGCAAGGGTTACATTTCCCAGAAATTATTAAAACTAAATTACTGACGTAATGAAATTTATGATTTACGAACTTCTTTAAATATGCATGATGCAGAATTTTTCATAATTACTTCCCCAAGTTTTAGTATGTGATGCAAAAGATGAAATAACACAGAGTTGACCTATTGGTAACTTATAAACTAGGAGTGAAAAAATGTTATTGAATTATTTCAGGGCCCACTCTCAAAAAACACATCTGAAAAATGAAGTGAAGAATTGGGCTAATATTTTTAATGTGAATTCGCTACCAATTTATCCCTTGTATAATTATGAAAATAAATCCTGGCTAAACAAGAATAAACAAAAAATGAACATACCATGAAATCTGTGATACAGCAATGGTCTACCCAATCCATCATATTCCATTCTATCTCCTATATGTCTATTGAAGACGCCAACATTTCGATCTCTTGAATTATACACTGAATCTCTGGCAGGAGAGGCAGTTTTGTGAGATGGCTCAAGCTTATGGGATCGGAAAGGCGACTTGTAAATATCTGGCTTCGATTCTTTATATTTTTCCCAGCCTCGAAAACTCTTGCCTTCACCATTTTCTTTAACACGATGACTATCATCTATATCACTCTTAGTTTCTGAAGGAACATCTTTATCAAGTTCACTTTTAATTTTAGGAGAGTTTGAAGCAACACTGCTATCTTGATTGGAAGCAGACTGTGTGGGAGATGGCTGCGAAATAATGGGAGGGGGTGGAGGTGATGGAGGCATGCCTTGCTGAGTTACTACAGAGATGGGTGCCAGCTGACGGAGATCTACATCCTCATTCCCAAACAGCCTGTTAAAAGGAAGAATTACACATTAGCACACTACAAGTATAAAATTCTGTAGTGGGCAGTAAAAATTCAGCACAGTTCAAATCAATGATGCAAGAATCATTTATCATCACTTATTAATATTTGCCATGTGTCAATGTGATGTCAATGTGTTCATGTGATTCAATCAACACTATTTATATCCTCTCAAGAGACCATACACATCTACATTACCAGAAATTTTAAAATTTGTATCCATGCCTCATTAGGTCATCATCACTGAAATCTCATACCTCCCAAAAAGTCTTTAAATAGCTTAAACTGCGGATTATCACACAGAGCCAAATCTGAGTGGCACGTTGGGCAGTTGAAATGATCGTTTGCTGATTTTTTTAATTTCTTGAGAAGCCACCATTAACAAGAATTTTATTCTCAAAGAAAAAAACCATACCATTTAAATTATTTTATCATAGAGCTTCCACGTTTTTACAAATTTCATTTTTCATAAAATTGTTAGTAGGTTTTAAAATAGACATTCAAGAAGCAAATAGTAAACATATAAAATAATTCTGAATGCCTTTCATTGATTTTTTCGATAAGTCTTCCTCTTTCATGATAGGCAACACATCAACAAATCAATTTTAGATTGAAACTTCAAGAAATAAAGTTTTGTGTGCACGATGGTTTACAAAACGAAAATAATCACTAGGAAAGGAATCTTTCCTGTTTTTGTTGTTGTAGTTTGCTGCTGTGGCTGCAGAAAGATGAAGAGTTCATCTTTAAGACACAAATGCTAGTTTAAAGAAAATGTTCATTATATAAACCACGAAAAAGAAAATCCTACCACCCATTCCAAAATTAAGGAACTGTGTTCTGATAAGCGAGTGTGAAGACGTGTTACCAACAGCTCTTATTGGGGCACTTTTATAAGGTAACCTACTGCGTCCACTTTGTTCGACAGTTATGATGCACATATATACTTAAGAACTGACCATCCTCATCCCAACATATTATTATTACCTTTCATTTTACTGTTTGCTCTACATCCATTGACCCCTTCTCCCTCCCAACCATCAGTCACCAGCCACACAAAGTGTTTTTCAAAAAAATAGCACATACACAGTACTCAAGAACAATTAAAACACTTGTACAACCACAATAAATTAAATATTTTAACAAAAACTGTCTTCACTAATACTGCAATAAAATGTTATAGTGTGTGAGTGTGTGCGCACACATGCACAGTTCTATACTAAGAATATATATAAAAAAAAAGTTGCTCTTCCGTAACCCAAGAAGATAATGAGCAAATATTTAATGACATGCAGTCTCTTCCATTGATCCATGATGTCACATGACATCAGGTGTGTCATAAGCAGTGCTGCATTAAGAAACAAGTTGGCATGCACAGTATGAGAATATGTGGAATTACAAAATATTTGCATTTTTTATTGTTCTTGAATTTTTCCAGTTTGAAAATCTAACAAAACCATCGACACATCTCACACTGTTGGAAACAGCTGCTGCTTTTTTTTTACATTGAAAATTAATAATATCAACAATTTTGTATATTTCTTGAGTTTGTTGGTATCTAATGAAACCAATGACAACATGGCCAAAGGATGCTAAATTTTCTTTAAATTTCTGTTAGCCCCGGAAATTAGAAATACTGATATACAACATACTTACTATGTTGTGTAGATATATTGCAATGATTTTGTGGACAAAATATTATTACACTTAAAAGAATGCATATTTTCTTTATTTAATTTCAATATTACCCCAGCACTATCATCATCTATAGCAACTATTATTATGATTTATTTTTTGGTCTTCTCACTTAAGTCGCTGCAGGGCCTATTTTCTGTCCCTGCATACATTTTTACTCCTCATATGCACCCTCCCTCCCCTCACGCAAACACATGTACCTACCCACACACACATCTCTACACTCTCAATTGTACAACTAAGCCCTCGTTCTACTGCACTTTCTCTCACCCACAAGGAGCCATCAAAAAATCAAAATTATAGATTTGTACTTTGGGGTTGTCCATAAATTAAGTAGAGCTGAAGAGGTGAGAGGGGCTTCGAGGCAGCATTAAGCTGCATTACATAGGGGTAGGGCAGTCATAGTAAGTGTTCCGTAATGCTGATATTTATTTTTAAAATCTTTCAATATTTCCTGAAATAATTCCTTTTATTCAGTCTTATACTAAAACAATAACATATTAAATTAAAAATATAACACATTCAAGAAGTTATGTTGTATAAATCATTACAATAAATGGAAATATTTTCAATAATATGAATCCTTTATTTTAAGAAGAAATATTCAAAACTGATCTATAATACATTCTAGAATCCAGTTAAGTTAGCACAGTAGATTAGGAGCCTGTGCATTATCCACGATGGCGTGTGCATTGCGTGGCAGGAATTTCTCGCATATGCCTTCTCCTATCTGTCAAGAATTGTCCTCACACCTATTAGTACCGCACCACCAACTAATTCTCCCTTTAAAAAGCATAATTTTTAATCTTAAAACAAATACAATTAATACAACTTGTTTCTACTTTATAACTGTTTTCCATTTATTATAATTGGGGAAGGGGGTCTTGTCGGAAGCATTACATAATTATTAGAGGGGGGTTCAAGCGCATGTTACAGGGGAGAGGGGGTATACAAATTACTCCAAATTTACCTTACATAATTTATAGACGACCTACTTTAGAGTTTGTACACGTTTTTAAAATTGCTTTAATTGACTACATATCAATTTAGGGTCATTGAACCCTGTTCAATGCCTTTACAACGTGCCTATCACCACATAATTTGTCAGTTTTTGAAGCATAATGCTTTTCCAACATTTTGTCTGCATATTTCAAGGAAAGTGTTATTAAAACTAATTTTGTCTGTTTTGAATGCTGTATATTGTTTCTCTAGTCAAGTTTCATTTAAATAAGAACCCAAGTGTACAGTATTGTATTTAATTGTATAGATAACTAGCAAATTCTGGTACACATTGTTCTACCCTTCATCTCCCCCAGCAAAAATGTTATAGCATGTTAAAAAAGTTTCATGTATAACTCCGTGTGAGAAATGTTTCGAGGCCTTTGGATTCAAAATTTTCACACTTCATTCTTTTAGTTTAAACATTTTAATTTTTGTATTCTGTATTATTTGAAACATCATGGCATTCAGTATGCCCCAACTCTCACCTATTGTTTTTTCAAAGATTATTCCAAATCTCCATTATTGTTTTGAGACCAAATATAACATGGAGTGCTAATTAAAATAGTGATTTTAGGCAAAAATAAAATAAAAAATAGCAATACATTTACCCAATTTTCACACATATTAACCGTGAAAGTTTGAGTTTTATTTTGCATAAACTGCACATATCTAATAATGAAGCAAAAAACACTAAAGAAAATGCGAGAGAATTTATCTGACATACTGTTCTTTCATGACAATGCAACACATAATATTGCAGATAAAACATGTCTACTTCCTGAAAAGTTAGACTTGAGACATTTTCACCACTGCACCAAATTTGGCTCCGCCTAATTATCACGCTTTTCATGTTTTTGAAAGTTTTGGAAGGCAAAACGGTTTTACATTGAAGATGACCTCCATCAGATGTGATTTCTTTCTTCCACAAATTTACAGCAAAGTATGAGGCAGAGGTACAAACATGCATTCTATGTTACAACATGATTTGAATATCCACAGTGACTAAGGGGGAAAATAATGTGTATAAAAGAGGATGTACAATAAAAACAGTACAAACATTTTCTTAAGTTAGTTTGGGTAGCATCTAGTCTTCCACTGCTGATCGAGTACAGAATAAAGCTGATATTCATAGGAAGTATCCTTCATAGCAGTAGTAGGTGTGGAAGAATCTGAACTTTGCACACAAATCATAACCTCTTAAGTAAAACAATGTACGACCTGTGTACCATTTTATTTTTTGGAAGTATAAAATGTGAAGAAACCCAAATCTACTAACAAATAAAATATTTATTTATCTCTCTACAGCCAATAGAAAGATTAAAAGATTTGTAGTCAAAAAAATTGTTTCCCTTTGAACTGAGTAATTCGTAATTTTAGATTAATAACTTTCACATATTTGTAAATTGCTTAATAGTTGATGAATTTCACTAGCATAAATACATAGTCTCAGTGATATCTGGCAGGTTCATTTGGATTCGCTTACTTTCCTTAACAGTTTACTTACATGCATTTCTTCTTATAAACATGAGAAAGTACCATTATCAGTAATATTTTACTGTCTTTTTGTATTGAAGTAATATATTTACCCCAAATATAAGACTTGGTTTTTTCCTAAATATCTCATTTAAAAAACATTGTTATTTAATATTAAAAGATTAAGACTGCCAATTAGGATTTATGTTTGTTCATTGCCTTTCTAAGTCACGAAACCTGTAACAAAACACTGCAAAGAATAAAAATTTCATGCTTATCTATAATACCTAAATATATTCAGACACATTCTCTCCCTCCACTACAAATTTGCTGAGCAATTCAGAAAGATATTTTTTAATGGGCAGATTAAGTAAGAACCTCATGCGAATGGTATAGTATAAAGCAAAGCACAACCTGAAAGTGAATAAAAATCATTGTTGAGAATTTGTTACATAATTAACTGATCAATGAGGCTGCACAGACATTCAGTTAAATGCTGGAAGCAAATGTTCTTAGTTCTTAAATTGAGGCAACCTAAGAACACAAATTCAGAGACGTCTAAAAATGCAGAGTACACCAATATAGGAGTGCCAAAAAGAAACTTTAATATTGTAAAGGTGAAAAGCTTAATGACAAAAACCATGATTATGATGACTTTTAAGAAACAGAAAATAGTGAAGGCTAAGGCAATTAGATTTAACATTCTCATCAAGAAGGCAATAACCAAGTCAATTGTACAATTTGCAATTTTATTTTCACTAAACAGTAAGAATTAGTTTTTAAAAATTTTAATTTTCAGGAGGCACCAACTTATATTTGGGTAAATATTTAAAGAAGATTTTTTGTTTTGAAGAATAAAGAATCAGAAATATCAACGACCTAAATGTTTCTCCGTAAAAAATGTATTAAAAGAAAAGTTTCAAAGGAATCAATCACTATTATTACACATTTCCATGTAGATTTGGCATTTAGAGTTTGTGAAGCTGGCTGAGTTTTCACTGACCACTCTGTAAAGTAGAAACATGTTTTAAGTGTATTATAACATAAGAAATCTTACACGTCAATCATTTCAGCTTTACTCTTCTTGTTAGGAGGTTGATCCGACCTTTCCATTGATGGTCGCTTCTTAGTGGGGGACCGAGAAAGCTGCCGTAAATCCACATCTTTTGTGGTTGCATCTACAAGTGTCTCTGTAACCACAACTAACAGAATTAGACAAATAACAATACAAGGAAAAGAAGACTCAGAGAGATACATCCCATCATGGTTTCCAGAGCTTATCCAACGCTGGTTACAAATTTCTTGATGCAAGCCTAAATCTTGGGTAGCCTAAAACCTTTACGGTTTGTGTCAATATTTTCTAAATTCACCATTACATCTCGCTCTTGACCTTTCTCGACATTGACATTTGCAACACATGTACTCAGAAAATTACAACCATTTTTTTTCATTTTTGTATTAAGAGAAACTTTTTGCGCAATAACCTTTTTTAAGTAGGAGACTTTTACATCAATACACTTAAGAAAGGGTGATACAAAATTGTTCTATTGCTTAAACATATTTTCAAAAAATTACATTAAACAAAATTAGAAACTCAAGGATACTTTCCGCATGAAAGCAATTTGCCATCACTGCAATCATTTAAAGAAATGTGATATATGCAATAACTTGGATGAGAAAGTGGTAAACAAATCAACTATATTGAAATTTTAATTTACTACAATAAAAGCTCAAAAAAATGTGTGGAACTAAATTACTCTAGAATCATCATCAACAACACAATATTTTCCATTCACCAGATGGGAGAGAGGCAATAACTTTGTTTGGTCTAGCAAACATGCAAGGAATTCCCACAACCAGAAGTGATACCCATTTTCTTTTCTTTCTTCCTTCCTTCCTTCAAAACTTGAGAGATATATATAAATAAAAAATAGGTACTCAAGACTCCACTCCAGTTTCCTTTTTACCCGAATTCAGAATGCGAATTATTAAATCATACCTGAACAATTATAGAACTTAAAATAAAAAATATATAAAATATTTTATTCAAATTCAGTCACAAGAGGATGATCAAAACACAAAAATATTCCAACTTATTTAAAATTGGTTTAATGAAATACAAGGAACATCTCTTTTACAATTATTTAAATTAATTACTACAAAACCACAGTCTAATTCTGATTGATGGTGAAACATTTGTGACTAGATTAATAACAATGTAGCCATGAAGGAACAAAATGCTCAACATTTATTAGAAATTGAGTAAAGTGTCACATTTCTAAACTGACTAGTTGTCTCCAAATGTGTCTACTACATATTCTCATGTTTCACAACTTATGTAACAGCTACTTTCCATTACTAACAAACAATTCCAGGGGGGGGGGGGGATGTAAGTGACTAATTGATCACTGAAAACAATTAGTCAAATGACAGTATTATATTTAAATAAATCACCACCTAAATATTCCTACCTAAACAAGTTTCCTACCTAAACAAGTTTCACAGAACATTTTATCACAGAAACACAAAAATTTGCTTCCATTTCTACATCTTTTATGAAGTTGGGTAAACTTTTGTAATTATCAAACTTAACTCATATGAATTACTGAAAATACAAATTTACTTCAAAAAGCATGTATTTGTTTACTCATCAAGAAGCAAAATTGTAAACAAAAATATTTCAAGCAAGTCAAGAAGTTTCCAAGTTATTCTATTACAATTTTAAGAATACAAAATTGTTTAACAGTGAAGATTCCATTTTCAGAATTATGACAATAATACAGCACGAAGTTCATAGGATGTATGATAATACAAGAACAATAATAATGTGTACTGATGTCTTAAATATTATAGCAAATTATAAATATTATAGCATTTGTACTTCAAAACAATATTCCTCTATCTAGATACTCCCAAAATCTGAAATTTAATAAAACGTGCAACACCAACTTCCAAACATGTATGGTCATCAGCACAGGCATTTCTAAGCAGTTCTATAAGGAAGACACTATATTAAAAATATAAAAGAAAGAAAAGGAGGAGAAAAAAAAAAATTTGAATGTTGCTATACTTTTCCTGCAAAACAGGTACACTGGAGTGGACTCTTCAGAATACACACCTACATAAATAATTTCCTGTTATCAATATAACATATGCTTCCTAGCAAGCTTTATTAATTTCAGTAAAGTGAATGTAGGAAAAAAACAAAAAACAAAAAGAAAAAAAAAAAACCTCTCACTAAAGAGAGTTCAAATAGGCTTAGAAAACATGACAGCAGGTATCCATGCAGGTCACCCTGAGTGTGCCAACATGTTCACTGACCATCGTATGATGTTCAATGATCTAAATCTGGATACCATTTGTCATTCATTAAGCCAAATAAATACATAACTTACATATAATTTAGTAACCGACTATTTGAAATTAAGGATTACTAATCATATTCCACAATTCAGTAAGGATCTTTATTAAATATAATACAGTACACACAAAACACAATTCAGTGATATGTGATACTCTTCATGATGTAGTCTGCTACAAAATTGCATTGCGCAATGGAAGTGCATGTGAGGTAGGGGAGCCACCTGCATGGAAGCCGTAAGTGAATTCCTACAACAAGAATAATAAATACTATATGCTTACTTTTGCCATCATCTTCGGTGGAGGACGGAGTACCATCTGCAGGAAATGCACCCATCCTTGGATGTTTCTCTGGCGGCGCACCTAGCCTGAGGTCTACATCCCCTGAAGTTACAGTAGATACCTCAGGACTTCTAGACTCGTCCCGTCTGTTTCGACGTACGTAGTTTCTCCCCTTCTTTGATACTTTACGATCTTTAAAGGTAGTATCTTCTCTTTTTTGGTTATCACTGATGACTGGTGGAGGAGGTGGAGAAGGAGAATCAGCCTCTGGCTCAAACATGTCAAAATTCTTGGATGCAGACCGATCTCGTTCACGTTCTCGTGAAAGCCTAATACTTCCCCCTGGACTTTTTGCTCTCCTATTTGATAAATTACTCCCTGACCCTATCTCGCTAACTTTGCCACCTTTCTCACTACCTTTCTTCTTTTCTGAAGGGGATTGTCTGTTGCTTGTGCTGCTCATTTTACTTTTATGACTGTCTTTCTTGGATCCAGGAGAGGAAGAGGAGTTGGAACCTGAAGACGAGGAAGAGGAAGATGATTTAGATAGAGGCTCAGAATGGCTGTCTTTATCCTTTCCAGCTAATTCCTCCTCCTTTTTTTCTGTTTTGTGAGGGGGACTATCTGTAAGATCAATAACACTGGCAGATTTATGCGAGGACTTGTTGGTACTGGAGCTGCTCCCTTTGCCATGCACTTTGCGTGGCAACGGGGCAGGCTTACCACAGCGGGATGGGGATTGTGGTGCAGGCAAGGGAGAAGGTCCTCTTGTAGATTTATTAGGTCCTTTGGAAGGTCCACTATTTTTGGACTCGGATCTTATTTTGGAATGAGATACATGGACCTTATTACTGTTCAAACGAGGGTCTTTTTTACTAACTCCTTGGGGTTCTTTATTAGCATTACCTTTATTGGCAATATTTATTGTGATTAGAGGTTTGGGTTTTGCAGTCTCTAATTTAACTGTTTCAAAAACAGAATTTGTGTTATCTTGAATAGGTGCTAACTGAGAAGTGGGTTGCTGCAAGTTCTCAGAGGTAACATTGGTGACAACATTAGGTTGAGTAGGCACAGGCTGCCGTGTAGCAAGACGAGGATCTCGAGATCGACTGCTGTTGCCACCTGGCCCAGCAGCTGCCTTCCCAGCAGTCTTAGCCTTGGAGGTGGATACTTCAGTCATCTTGCTGGGAGACCTTGAAGGGCCAGATGATGTAGCCACTGTAGAAGGAGTTGAAGCTGCTACCACCTGAGGCGCTCCAGAGACCTAAAAATCAGGATTTTCATTGTATCACTAAACTTAGTTGGTGTAAAAAGCATGTAGGGGAGAAACAATATTTCTAGTCAACCTGGAGAAAAAGTGCACTTACATTTTCCAATAAACTTATTCTTTAAATTCATTTGGTTCAATATTTAACTTAAAAATTATTTTTGGGTTGACTCCACCAGTGACAGGAGACAATTGCCTACAAAGATACAGTGTGACTATTGTATTAGTATGCTGCAATCATGGAAAATTTTGTTTGGCCAAATGTCATAGACATAAGTTTGGATGTGAAAAACATTCAATTCCCAAATTTTTAAAGGGCTTTTATTTACTACATTGCTAACATATATAATTTTTTTAAATTTTATTTTGTGTATGAAGTGCTTGGATACATTCGCTAGGATGAATTACTGGCTGACTGGTACACGTTTTAGGGGAATTTTTTTGTTTTTCTCCAGTTTTCTCCTGACTCTGCAAAAGTGACGTTTGTTGTTTCTAGAAAAGATGGAATGGAAACTTATATGTAGGCATCTATGAGATACCCTACGAGTCAATTAGGGATTTTGGTGGGTCATCTAATACTCTAAGTGAGATGCTCTATGAGTTGCAGGATATGTCACATTACATACTGATACGAGCTGGTAGCCATTATTCCCATGTGTATAAATTTTAGCAGATTTATTTCAACTATTTCGCTCTTCTCTCGATATGGGAGTCATACCTCTTGACAGGCTATCCACAAGAAGGGTGGTAAATATAACACTTGAACTACCAACCCATTAGTTTGACTAGATGCAAGTGAAGTGTTGGACAGCCTCATTGCGAGATGATTTTGGAATTCGCCCTTGAGATAGATTCTATTCTGCCTGAACAACATGGGTTCATCCCTAATCGATCAACAGTGACAAACCACCTTTTGAACATTCATTGGACTAACGGTTTGGATGCTTGTAATCTACTAGATGTTATCAATCTCGATTTCTCAAAGTTCTTTGATAGGGTCCCTCATACGCGTCTTCTCCTGAAGCTCTTCCATCTTGTTCATGGAAGTTCATGGAAGATTTCATGCCTGGCTATCTTCATACCTTACTGGCCGTACGTTTAGAGAAAGTGGGGGAGGAGATATCCGGTTACTATCCTTTGACTAGTGGGGTTCCGCAGGGATTTGTCCTGTATATTCTATATACTGTACTAGCTATCTACTTCATACTTACAAGGACAAAATACTCCAACTATGATTTAGGTATTTACTGACGACTTCAACCTATCAGCAAACCCACTTACTGGCTATGCAGACTTACAAAGAGAGAGAGAGTAAATAACTAGATGGATCACAAACGTCTCTACCAAAGCTTCATCCCTCAATTATGGAATATGGCAGCACTGCTTGGAACCCTTATTTGAACAAAGTCATCTTAACTTTGGAGAGCATACAGTGGAAAGCCACCAACATAGTACTGTCTGAGAAATCTCCCATACAATGTTTGTCTTAGGGAATTGAATCTGTCTCCTCCCAGTGAGAGACTTCTCCGTGCAGACCTCATTGAAACCTTTGAGGTTGTGAAAGGGTTTTACAGATATTATGAATTAGAAAACATCTTCACCCGATCTCAAAATACCCACTTGGGAAGCCACAGTTTTCAACTAACCAAAGCCAAATTTAACTAAATTATAAAACCAAAACATATAAAATCGCATTGAAGAGTTCTGGAATTGTCTACCAGAAGAAATTGTTACCTCGCCGAGTGTTCTAACTTTCAAAGTAGCTTATGATAGGATGATGAACCAAGATATGAATCCCTAGTTGAAACAACCAGTGAGGAGGAATTTCAAATCAGGAAACAGTTCTAAGATGTCTTGAAAATCATGTTCATAAATTTCATACACGGATGTTCCAGATATTGGTGGAAAGTACATTAATGAGGAGGTTGGGATCACCCAGAATAAGTAGATGTTGGCATTGGTGTTCTCTTCGGAAAAGGGTAAGTCTGCTCGAGTACGTATAGCAACAACATTAGTTGCTATTAAAGTATTATCGATTATTATTTCATTCAGTTCTATTAAATTTAACAAAGTTTTGATTATGGAAACAAAAAATGACCATGTGAACATCAATGATAACCTGTTTAAATGTCAGCGTTTCTATAAAAACATAAGTGTTTCCATAATGACAAATTTTTAAAAACTACGCATGTGTTTTAGTATATGTACATGACCTTTTAAAAGAGCTGATTTTTTTTTAACATTTCGTTTTTCAAAAACACTCTTTTCAAAATCAAACTTTTGCAATTTAAATTTTTAATGATCTTTGCAATTTTCGAAAATAGTTTGCCAAAAATTAAATCGGTCGCAATTTTTTTGCTACATACAAGGAAATAATTGGAGCCGTTATTGAGAAAGTAATAGTTTAAAGTAGTTTCAAAATTGCCTACGTTTAATGCAAAATTACATTAATTACAAACTAGACTTACGTTAAAAAATCACAACTTTCAAAATATTAGGGTTTTCAACAAAAATTAAACCACACAATATGTTAGTCATGCTATCAAAGGATGAAGTTAAATCCTAACTTTTGGAGCCATTTTTTAGAATATTTTGAAAAGGCCGAGGTAAAGTACCCCAAGAATCTAAAGATGCAGTTCAATCTTCAATCTTCCTTTTCAGTAGAAAAATGGCTGAACGATTTAGGAGCTAGAATTGACCATAGATGGATGGACAGCCAGTCAGAGGCAGCCAGAGTGTCAGTTGTCAATTGATTTTTCGTTAAAAAGGACACAAAACATTCTGGCTACACAAATGTTAGAAGACATAATTTAGCATAATAAGGTAAAAGATTTATCCACTTTTATCATTTCCATGGCCTGGCAATAAGAGTTTTTGTATCAAAATGTTGCAATTTTCTGGCACTGTTACAATTCTTTCTCTTCGTGTGATGTAAGTGAGAAAATAAAAATTACCACAGTACATTGAGCTATCGTTATTTATGATATAAGAGGTAAAAGCGTCCTTTTATTTCGCAAGTAGAAAATATGACGCATGACTAGGGTCAAGTGGTGCGATCCAAGCAAAATAAAATCACTTTTACTCCGGGTGTAATATTTATTTTTTTTAGACAGCCTTACTGACTTTCCTTCTATTTTAATTAAATTTTATACAAATCACTTCATTGTATACCATGTTACATTATGATCAGGTATTACAAAATAGTTGAAAATATTTTGTTTTCTTTTTTGCTTAGTTGTTTTTTTTCTGAACATTACAGAAAAATCTCACTTTTTCCACTAGCCTAACAAATTGTATTTTTAGCTTGCTATGCATGACATTTTTAATATCTGTACCCATTGCGTATGATTCAGGTGCAGGTTTTCATGTAGAATGTTCCAGATAGTCATGTGATGCACTCGTTTGCCTTCTGCAATTCATTAAATACTATCTGATAGGATTGCACAATATGAATTTGTTCAAGATCAGATTCAAGTCGTAGTTGTCGTCGTCGTAGTTGTCGTCGTCGTCGTCGTCGTCGTCGTAGTTGTCGTCGTCGTCGTAGTTGTCGTCGTCGTCGTAGTTGTCGTCGTTCGTCGTAGTTGTCAGTCGTCGTCGTTAGTCTTCGTCGTCGCGTAGTGTGTGTGTCAGTGTTTCCGTCGTTCGTAGTTGCTGTCGTGGTCGTCTCGTCGTATTGTCTCGTCGTCGTAGTCGTCGTCGTCGTGCGTCGTCGTCGTAGTGTCTCGTCGTCGTAGTCTGTCGTCGTTCGTTCGGTTCCGGTCTGTTCGTGTTCGTCGTCGTGTCTCGTTGTGTCGTCGTCGTCGTAGGTCGTCGTCGTCCGTCGTCGTCGTTCGTCGCGTAGTTGTCGTCGTCGTTCGTCTGTCGTCCGTGTTCGTCCGTGTTCGTCGTCGTCGTCGTGTCGTCGTCGTCGGCGTCGTGTAGTTTGTCGTCCGTCGTCGTCGTCCGTCGTAGGAAGTTGTCGTCGTCCCGTAGTGTCGTCGTCGTCGTCAGTTGTCGTAGTTTCGTCGTCGTCTCGTCGTCGTAGTTCGTCGGCTGTCTGTTAGTTTCGTCGTCGTCGTCGTCGTCGTAGTTGCTCTCGTCGTTAGTTGTCGTCGTCGGTCGTCAGTTGTCGTTCGTCGTAGTTGCCCGTCGGTCGTCGTCAGTGTCGCGTCGTTCGTCGTCGGTAGTTGTCGTCGTCGTCGTAGTGCGTCGTCGTCGTAGTGCGTGTTTCGTCGTCGTCGTGTCGTCGTCGTTCGTCGTACGTAGTTCGTGTCGTCGTCGTCGTCGTCGTCCGTAGTTGTCGTCGTCGTCGTCGTACCGTCGTCGTATGTCGTCGTCGTGTTCGTCTGTGTCGGTCGTCGGTTAGTTCGTCGTCGTCGTTCGTCGTATGTCTCGCCTCGCGTCTTCCTCGCGCGTCTCGTCTGTCGTTCGTCGTCGTCGCTCCCTCGTCGTAGGTGCGCTGTGTCGTCGTCGGTCGTTCGTCCGTCGTAGTTGTCGTCGTCGTCGTCAGGCGTCGTATGTCGGTCGTCGTCGTATTGCTCGGTCGTTCTCGTCGAGTGTGCGTCTCGTCGTCGTATGTCGTCGTCGGTCGTCGTCGTCGTCGTAGCGTCGTCGTCGCGTCGTCGTCGTACATTCTCGTCGTCGTCGTCGTCGTGTGTTCGTCGGTCGTATTGTCGTCGTCGGGCGTCGTCCGTAAGGTCTTCCCGTGTCGTCGTTGGTCGTCGTCGTCTCGTCGTTCGTCGTCGCTCGTCGTCGTATTGTTCCGTGTCGTCGTCGCGTCTAGTGCGTGTCGTCGTCGTCTTGTCGGTCTCGTCGTAAGGGTCGTCGTCCGTCTGTGTCGTCGTCGTCGTCGTAGTCCGTGTGTCGAGTCGTACGTCGTCGTCGTCGTCGTAGTTTCGTCGTCGTCGTCGTAAGTTGTCCGGTCGTCGTCGTCGTATTGCGTCTGCTGTCGTCTGTCGTCTCGAGTGTCGTCGTCGTAGTCGCTGTCGTTGTCGTGTTGTCGTCGTCCGTCGTCGTCG